CTAGAAAACAGAGTCTACTACAGTCTACGCCAAATGACAATACAAGAGAGAAAACATAATAAGAAAGGAGAAACAAGGACTGCGGACGCCGGTAGCTACCTCGTAAGTCTCCGATAATCAGTTCGTGCACGAACTCAGCGACTGCCAGAAACGTACACACCTAGATATGCACATGAAGTGCAAGGTTTAGCATGAGTATAACCAACTCAGCAAGTAACAGAATTAAATAAAGAACTGAGAAGCAGTGACAAACTATAATGATACAGATCATTTCAAAAGTTTTTACTAAAGAGTGAACATGCTTTCAAATCCGGTGGTATAAGTCAACTCAGTTCGAGCTCAAGTAAAATAGATATGAATCTTCTAGGAATTTTACAACAACATTAGATAGCAACTAAGTGCAACAATAAATAAAAGCAAGTACAGCCTCTCAAGGAAACAATCACTCAACTCATCTCAACAACTCATACCCTCGGCTCTTAGCCCTCAATACACACTCTCGATAGGTATCTGCGCTTACTGGGGTGTACAGACTCCGAAGGGGCTCCTTCAGCCCAAACTCTATATTGCTGCGGCACGCAGCCCTATCCAATATTGTTGTGGCGTAGAACCCGATCCAATATTATTACGGCGTGCAACCCGATCCATATACCTCACAGCTCGCAGCTCGCAGCTCGACACTCAGGCCCTACCTCTGTCACTAACCTGTCTAGCCCCTCGGACTCACGAAATATCATAATAACCAGCCCAAGCAGAAAATACAACAAGTATCAACAAGAAATTAGAGGAAACATAGATATAACACACAATTAAGATTGTGACTGAGTACAAGCCAATAATTAGCAGTCAATTCAACAAGTATACGACCGTTGCGGGTCCCAACAATGATATCATATGGCCTAAGCATAGTTTCTAACATGAAAGGCGGTCAATTGCTCAAAGACAAGGAAAACAAGTAATAACAATGGTTATTCGACTTCACAGTCTCACGAGACGGACCAAGTCACAATTCCTTACGGTGCACGCTCGCACGGCCGTCACCTAGCATGTGCGTAACCTCCAAATATTCACATTATACAAATTCTCGGGGTTTCATACCCTCAAAACCAAATTTAAGACTGTTACTTACCTCAAACCGAACAAATCTCCACTCCGAAGTGCCTTTGCCTCTAAAATCGGTCTCCAAACATGTCAAATCTAGCCACAAGTATAACAATACAATCAATATAGGCTAAAGGGATCAATTCCACAAGAAAAGTACTAAATTATAGCCAAAAGTCCGAAATTGGCCCGAACCGGGCCCCCGTGCCCACGTCTCGAAATCCGACAAAAGTCACAAAACCCGAAAACTCATTCACTCACGAGTCTAACTATACCACATTTACTCAAATCTGATAAAAAAATCCTATTCAAAATCACAAAATCCCAACTCAAGAGTTTTTCCTCTTTTTCCCCAATTTCTCATCACAAATCTCAAATTAGATGATAAAATTAAAGATGAAATCATGGGATTTAACCAAAACCAAGTAAGAATCACTTATCCCAATGAACTCCACGAAAATCCCTTCAAGAATAGCCCAAAATCGTGTTCTCTAACTCAAAATATGCAAAATGGGTTCAAACCCTCATTTTTAAAATTAATACTGCCTGTCCAGATATCCTTCATCGCGATCGCGAAACACAACTATGTTGCCCCACATTTTTACCCTACGCGAATGCGGAATCACCCACGCGATCGCAGATCACTGTCTCTCATACCTACGCGATTGCATCCTGGCTCACGCGATCGCATAGAGCATTGGTCACACCTCCCCTCCTGCTTAAATCGTTCTACGCGAACGCGACCTTAGCCACGCGTTCGCAAAGCACATCTTCGCACACATATGCGATCGCGTTCCTAACTCTACGATCGCATAGAACAAATTCACCTCTGCCCCAAATAAGCTTACGCGATCGCGAATGAATCCCTGCGATCGCGGACAAGGAAATCAGAACCTGCTGAAACCAAAACTTCAGCTATCAAGCCAAGTCCAAAAATAATCCGTTAATCATCCGAAACACACTCGAGGTCCCCGGGACCTCAACCAAATATACCAACAAAACCTAAAACACCATACGAACTTAGGCGAACCTTTGAAACACTCAACACAACATCAAAACACCATTTACACCCGCATTCTAGCCTATAGAACTTCTAAACTTTCAAATTTTATAAATGACGCCGAAACCTACCAAACCACGTCCGATTGACCTCAAATTTTACACACAAGTGATATTCAACATTATGGACCTCTTTCAACTTTCGGAATCGGAATCCGACCCCGATATCAAAAAGTCAATCCCCCGGTCAAACTTCCCAAAATTCGACTTTCGCGATTTCAAGCCTAAATTAGCTACATACCTCAAATTCACAGTCCGGACACGCTCCTAAGTCCAAAATCACTCATCGGAGTTAACGGAACTGACGAAAATCCATTCCAGAGTCGTCTTTACCCACTTCCGACTACGATCAAAATTTTGAGACTTAAACTTTCGTTTTAGGGACTAAGTGTCCCGAAACACTCCGAAACCAAAAACAAGACCTCGTGGCAAATCACTTAAGTAAAAACAAATACGAAAAAATAATAAATAGGGGATCGGGGCTAATACACTCAAAACGACCGGCCAGGTCGTTACACATTCAACTTTATCATATACTTTTAACATATCTAATTTTATAGCCATAAATTTATGTTTGTCCCTTCTTCAATTTTTTAGCAAATGCATAAATGTATGAGCTAGAATAACATTATCTGTAATTTGCCTATGACCGATAAATGGAGCTTGATTTGGAGATATAATATTAGGCAAAATGCTTTTAATTCCAGCAGCAAGAATTTTAGCAATAATCTTATAAAAAGTAGTACATAGGCTAATAGGCCTAAATTAAGATATTCGAGTTGAATTTTTAAATTTTGAAATCAAGGTTATGAGAGTTTCATTCAAATCCGGAAGGATATATCCTGAATTAAAAAAGCTTCTAACTGCGTCACAAATATCCATTTCTAAAATATTCCAATATCTTTGAAAAAATAAAGGTGTCATCGCATCAACACGTGGGGATTTTAAAGGGTGCATAGCAAATACAACTTTCTTAATTTTATCGTCATTTACATCCTTAGTAAGATCCTAGTTTAAAGAGTCATTAATAGTAGTAGGGACATTGTTCAAAATTAGTAGGATTGGATGAAATAAAAACGCTTATCATAAAAATTCTTTATCTCTTGCAATAGATCTGCTTGTTCTAACACCCATTTTCCATAAGAAGTTTGGAGACCATTAATAATACTCTTTCTTCTCCTCTGTAATGTAGATATGTGAAAATAAGAAGAATTTTTATCCCCTCTTTTAACTATAAAACTCTAGATTTTTATTTCCAATAAATTTCTTCATCTCTATAAGCTTTTGATAACTCATTTTTTAGCAACTTTAATTTGTTTATGTCAAAGCTTATTGCTTCTAAGATATTCTATTCTCTTTTTAATTCCATTAATTCTTTTTTAGAATTACCGTTACCCCTTCTTAACCATCCAACCAAAGACATACGACATTGCTTAATCTTAAATTTGGCTTTTCTTTGTAAAAACATATTAGCATCATTAGACCAAGCATTATTGATAATATTATGTGCCTCTTCACGATCTATCTATCTCTTATCAAAATAAAAACGTTTTTTCTTCTAATCATATTAGCATCAGTAGAAAGAATTAGTGCAGAGTGATCTGAAACTTCATTATCAATATGAATTATATTAGCATTTTCAAACTTAATTGTCTAATTAGGAGAAACTAAAGTTCTATCTAATCTTTCATGGATCACACCATCATTTAATTTTCTCTGTAACATCACCAGTCCAAGGTTTTCCTTTAAAACCTAAATCAACTCCACCTAAGTTCCAAATAAAATCCTTAAAATCTTAAAATATCCCGCTATCTCTAATTCTCACACCTTCCTTTTTAGAGTTATCAATAATATCATTAAAATTACCAACTAAAACCCATAGAGAACCCCAATTTATAGATCAATCTATTAATTCTTGCATTTGTGTTCTACGGTGACCTCTATCTGTACTTAGGTACAAAAAATTATATCAATAATCACAATTAGATAAGCTATCTTTTAAAAATTATTTTTTGGAAAAACGCTATTAAAATAAACAGATTTTAGAAATATGATTGATATTTAGCTTAAAGTATATATATTTATATGTATATCGCCTCATGTTTTGCTCGTGTTTCGCAGATTTCGGATGTAAAATGTGTTGAGTTTTATTAATTCAGGGTATTTTTATGTGTAGGAAATCATCCGAAAGCAATTGGGGGCGAAAGATGCGAGATTAGAGCCAAAATAGAGGAAAACGGGAAAAGTTGGATTTCCAGCGCCACAGGCACCGCTCCACGCCACTTGTGGTACCAGTGGCAGAAAGTTAATAAGCTAGCGCGAGGGATAAGTTAATGGGCTGGACGCTAGTGACGGAAAAACTGTCCAAGTTTGCCCGGGACAAGGTTACTTCGGCCCTAGACCTACCCAATGCGTATAAAAGCAATACTAAACTTATTTTTAGAGGGAGACGCCACTTTGAAGAGAAAATAAACACGAGGAACATCCGGGAGCGAGNTCAAACTTTTAAAAGTTAAAAGGAAAATGGACATTTTGTAATAATAAAATAAAAGGACACACATTTAAGGACAGAGGAAGTAATTTTTTGTCATTCTTATCTTGTATAACTCAAATAATTACCTTTATATCCTTGCTCTTTTTTGCCCACGTGGTCTTCCCCCAATCATAGCAGAAGAAAATGAGCAGAGTTTGCACAGTAGAATAGTAGTACTAAATCATTTTGGGTCATTTTCACATTTGGCCATCATATTAGACCGCGGAACTTGGACTATATATGCCTTATTTTCGTACAAGATTATTCCTTTTTAATACATTTTCACTATATTTTCCTTTCAAGCGGCTTCAGTAATATAACCCAACTTGGAAGACTATATATATATATGTTAGCCTGACCTTAGCTGTTATGCAGATTATTTTCTGACTCTGAAGTTTTTAAAAATATTAAGAAGAAATTAAGGGATGGCACAGATTGATAATAGCAATGGAGATGGAAGATGGTCTCTTCATGGCATGACTGCCCTTGTTACTGGGGGTACTAGGGGCATAGGGTAAGCAACATAATTTCAACAACTATTCAGAATTCTTTTTTTTTTTCTTATCTTATGAAAGATTGTAGTTTATTTGTTTCATTCATATTGTCCTGTGTCCATTATATTGACTTCTGATTTGTTCTTCTTCACTGATGCATTAGCCATGCCATAGTTGAAGAACTAGCGAGTTTTGGCGCAACAATCTTTACATGTTCACGAAATAAGAAGGACTTAGATGAATGTTTGGAGAAATGGCAAAAGAAGGGGTACAAAGTGAACGGGTCTACGTGTGACTTGTTTTCAGAAGATCAACGAAACCAGTTGATTGAAAAAGCTACTGAATACTTCAATGGGAGGCTTGACATCCTTGTAAGTGAGATACCTTAAATGGTTTTGAAGTTCATATAATTGAATCTTTAATAATTACTATCTTATATCCATAATCCACTGACAGTATATATATATAAATGAATTTTTACGCGATCAATGCAATTTGACTGATGAGGTTTGTTATATTTTAGGTAAATAATGCTGGTGTATGTGTACCAAAGGAAACCACAAAAATTACATCTGGAGATTGCTCACTAATGATGGGAACCAATTTTGAGGCTTCATATCACTTGTGTCAATTAGCATACCCTTTTCTAAAAGTTTCAGGAAAAGCAAGCATTGTGTTCATCTCTTCTATCTCTGGGATCATGGCTATTCCTTTTGTTTCTCTCTATGCAGCAACAAAAGGTACTTTTAAAAAAAAAATGAAAATATGTTGTACTAATGATTTGTTTTCTAAAAAACACTAGTAATTACTGTTTCTTTTAACACTTTTAAGTTAATCTATTTTATAGGAGCAATTAATCAATTAACGAAGAACTTGGCATGCGAATGGGGAAAAGACAATATTCGAGTAAATGCAGTTGCACCATGGATTATTGATACTGCGCTTACAGATTCTGTAGCTGTAAGTATATTTTCTCCTTTGTTTGGTTCTTTCTTCTAATTTTTTAATTATAAAGGTAGAAAAACCTGGTAAGAAAGAAAATTAGAAAATATTTAAGTGTTACTTTACCTAACTACGTTTTTGTTTTTTGTGTGTGTTTGCAGGAAGATTTTGAGTCAAAAGATGTGGAGAACTTGATTAAGAGAACACCAATAAGCAGGATGGGAAAGCCAAATGAAGTTTCATCACTGGTGGCTTACCTCTGCTTTCCTGCTGCTGCTTATATAACTGGCCAAATAATCTGTGTTGATGGTGGCAAAACTGTTTGTGGATTTCCATGATTAATTACTCTATGCTTAAGCTGGTAAAGAGAGAAGTCCTCATCCAAATAATCCACAAAGAGAACAGTCAAACAAAGTCTTCGTTATCAATTGAGAACAATTATATGGTTGTTTGCATACTTTATGATAACTTTAATAAGCTATATGTTGAAATTTTCTGATTCTATAGTTTTTCCATTATATACATTAAGTAAAAGTTAGGAATATCATCAAAAACTTATGTCTCATTTTGCCCAAATTCCTTGTTCTTTATACTCTTTTGGAGCAGGGTGAAGAGAGGAAAACAAGGTATCTCGTGAAGATACTAGACTTGTATAACCTTTTTATAAAATATTTTACATAATTAAAACTTCTCTATTTTTCACTAGTTAAGTCTTGATTTTTTTTTTTA